CCACAGTCGGTCATATGTCGGAAGTAGGTATGAATCAAGACTGTCATGATTGGTTGCAGAGGTCTAAGGTGTTGGACATGGCTACAACAATCATGAGTGCTCATAAGTTCTGAGCATTGGACTCAACCCACGCTCACTGGAATCACTTCATGGAATCTATCTCGAGTGATCGTGAGACGGTAATATCATATAAGTCTTCAAACCTAGAGATATGATTTGTTACTTACAAGTTGGTTATGCATTGATTGTACGAAAACGCATTGGTAACTCGATGTTATAAAACGTGCCTTTGTGTGTAATTCAATGAGTGGTAGAACAAACATATGAGTCGAAGTTTATCTGTTCCTTCTTGGATTAGAAGTTGATATCTGGGCCCCTCGATGATTTTGTTGTGACCTATGTACCGGGCCCGGTCAGAACTAAATTGATGTGTTCAGTTAAGTTCTATGTCAAACAAATCGGAAATCGGGAAACAAATGTGGACAATAAGCAAGACCATGTTCCATGTATTTGTCCGGCTGATATCTAGAACAGAGGATTATATGATCACTTATCTTAAATGGTGCGTTCTAGTTCAACAGAGTTTAAAGAGCTACGATTGCTGATCGGTTCCTGAAGTCATACTTGCAACTATAGTTATTAGACTTATCCAAGTGGGAGACTGTTGTATATAGTGTCTAAGTTCATAACTATATTTGGTATGTACTTGACCCGACCGGCATGGTCCATTTGGGTTGCACTTCACCCGAACAATTTATGGATAATATTTGAGAATAGTACAAGTTATGATTTATTAATATATTATAAGTTCTAATATATTAATATAAGATCATATTATTTAATTAGTAGTGATCTATAATTAATCTAGGATTAATTTAGAGATCAAAGATATTACTAATTAAATATGGGCTTCTATATTTATATAGTGTGGGCTAAAGCTTATTTGGAATGGGCTAGGCTTGCATGGAAAAGTCCATGGATACTCCATGGAGCTTTAACCCATGGATCTCATGGAAATGAAGAGACATGGGTTTTAGGGATGCAACCCTAATCCTTCACACTATATAAAGGAGGCTTTGGTTCTTGAAATGTGACTAGTTGACACTTGTTGAGGTGAGAGCAAATTTCAAGATAGTAGTGACTATTCTCTCAAAGTTCCAAGTTTGTGGTGATTTGTGATTTCCACTTGAGGCATCCACACTATTGGTGCTAGGCTCAAAAACTCCAAGCAATCAACTACAACTTCAAGGTAAGTATTTCTCCTAGCTTTATTTGATTCATGTTCCCCATGCCATGCTAGCTAGGATATAAACCTTGGAAAAATTAATTATATGCATGTATCTTAGACAAACATAGATCCAAGGTTTATTAGGGTTGCATGTACACTTAGGAAGTGTTAGAATGCTCAAAACCCAACAAGTTTATGGTCCAAAGACCATGTGTGTTGGAGTTTATGGCCTAGGGGAGTAAACTCCTGGCCGTAAACTCTATATTGGGTCATTAAATGAAGCTTAAAGTTATTACAACTTAAGTGGTGAAGTGCTACAAGGCTTACTAGGGTGTTAGGGCTTCCTTTTAACTCCTTTGAGGATTTCATGGCCTTAGGACCATATCCCTTGGGGATTATGATCATAATCTCCCTTGGGAGGGTGTTTGTGGTGTTTTCAAGTACCTAATTTAACTAAGAATAAATCAAGGCAATTGTCCAAGGCTTTAGAAGAGTTTATAGCACCATTTGGCACTATTGTTTGGAGTTCACGGCCCTGGAACTTCTTGGGCTGTGAACACCTTACTCTTGGTGTTCTAAGGGTGTTTGTTAGTCCTAAATTCATTTAGGTACGTGTCTAAACTAGTCTCTTGGCTTAAGGAAGGCTTTTAAGGTGTTTTGGCACCTAAAAATGGAGTTCCCGGACCAAGAACATCCTTGGCCGTGAACTCATTTCTTGCCTTTGTTTCTTAATGATTTTGTGGTCTAAACATGTCATTGTAGTTTCTAGGTTGAGTTGTAAGGCTTGGAGGGACATTGGGCACACTTTTGGCCCTTATAAAAGAGTTTACTCTCCAAGTGTTCTTGGGCGGTAAACTCTCAAATCTTGGGGTTTTGTCCGATTTTGATGTTATTAGGCACAATCTAAGCTATATATTACAACTAGATAGAAGTAATCACGATTTGGGATGAAAAACCCAAGATCCGTGAGAGAGAAAATGGCTTTTCTCTAGTTCGAAATGTGACTAATGAATAAATATGACTCATATTTCTATATATAGTCCTGGGATTTTTGGCAGAAAATATTTTATTCCCGTAATGAACTCTAATATCACAGAGTTTAGGAATAACCGTGTTGCACAAAACCCTAGTGCATCCACTCTCCTGATATCTCCTTAAGTGTAAATCCTGAAAAACTGTCAAACTTATAGCCAAAAGTCTGGAACTTAACTGTAATTGTTCTAACTTCAATTGACTTGATATAGTTCGTACAGAATGGAAATTTTGGGTTGTCACATGGAAGGTAGGAGTCCTAACTTCCATCGAAATCTATAATACATGCTCTCAACATATCCTAGAGCGTCTGGATGGACCTCTCGCTCAATTCATCAGTATGCGGATGATAAGCAGTACTAAAATACAACCTCATACCCAGTTCCTCGTGGAACCTCTGCCAAAATTAGGAAGTGAACCGAACATCTTGATTAGCTATGATGGAAACTAGAATACCATGTCAAGCAACGATCTCATGCACATAAACATCGTCCAATTTGTCAGCTGACGAGCTCTCCCGAATAGCTAAAAAGTTGGCACTCTTGGTCAGACTGTCCACTATAATCCATATCACATCAAATCCATTAGCCGTCTATGGTAACTTGGTGATGAATTTCATGGTGATTTGTTCCCATTTCCACATGGGAACCTCCAATGGCTGAAGCTTTCCATGCTGCCTCTGGTGCTTGGCCTTGACCTTCCGACAGGTCAACAACCTCTCAACATACCACGCTATCTCCCTCTTCATACACGTCCACCAATAACTAAGTCTCACATCCTGATACATCTTGGTGGCTCTAGGGTGTATCAAAAATATGGACTTATGTGCCTCCTCAAACATATTCGCCCCGATCCCACCAAATTTGGTACCCAAACCCGGCCGTACGGAACGAATAATCAACAGATATTTGTAGAAAACCTGTTGATCTCACCTTTGATTCACTTATGTTTCCAATTCTCCTTCTTGACTCCCTCGGCCTGAGCCTCCTAATCAAATCTAGAAGTGGTGAATCAATCGAAACTCTCATACAAAAGTTCCAACAAAAGAACTAGGTAATTTGTGGCTCAAGGCACCAACGACCACATTTGCTTTCCCTGGCTGGTAGAGAATCTCGTAGTCATAATCCTTGACCACATCAACCCGCCTACGTTGTCTCATGTTTAGATTTTTCTGATCCATGAGATATCTCAAACTCTTGTGATCCTTGTAGATAGTACACTAGACCCCATATAGATAATGCTGCAAAATCTTGTGGGCAAATACTACCGCCCTTAACCGCTGACCATGCGTAGGATACCATATATCGTGTGGTTTCAGATGCCAAGAAGTATGTATGATAACCCTTCAATCATTGCATAAGAACTTTCCCCAGACCGGTGATGGATGTATCGCAAAATACAACAAAATCCTCAACAACCCTCAGGGAGGGTCAACACTGGGGCCACACATAACTTTTGTCTTAGTGTCTTGAATACATCTTGCTGCTCAGGCCCCTAGCTGAAATCCCTATCCTTCCTCATCAGACGAGGGAGGGATATAACAAGCTTAGAGAAGTCCAGAATAAATCTTGTTAGGATATTAACCTTTGAAGGATCAATTTGACTCAAAACAAATTATGAACAAGAACAACAATGATTCAAAATATGCTTAATGATTATAAGCCACAGCCTTAGAACAACTCGATTAAGAATTGCCACTATAGAGGTGTGTTTAGGGTTACAAGAATATTGCCAAGATTACAAAAGACGGTGCATACATGCACCTTAAATACTATAACCCTAATTAATAAAGATGAGTGAACAAGCCCAAGCCCATTTACATAAATGGACTATTAAATAAAACATAATGACACAACAATAAATCCTAACAATATCCTCCTTTGCATCCATTTATGTGAGAGGCTCTTCACTCTTGTGTCTTCTTTGTAGTCTTGAAGATCTTGGGGATGACTGCAAGAAGATGCATGCGAAACGCAATGTACCATTTTAACATATCAGAGTAAATCTTCTTTGTAACTTAGTCATTTAGTTGAAATTGACCTGTGATGTCCAAAATAAACTCCAAGCAAGTTGTAGAAAACAAATGCTTATCAGGAAATGCGAAGAGGTACTTTTGCACATTACCTACCAGACCACGATGAAACATAACAGTCCAACTTTAGTTTTTCAATCATACACATTTGCATCTTATTAATGTCTTTCGTTTTTCCAGTTAGGGGAGCAATGGGTTTCCTCTTCAGTATTCATTTTATCTGCCCCAGAACAGGTTCATACTTCTTTTCATCTCTCAGATGGAAATACAGTAAAACAATCCAATCATAGGGATTAATACGTGGCAGATCAACTAAGGAAACCTCACGAACATCACTTTTAGATCCTCTTGTTGTTTTGAATTTGATATTCCTGAAGCTCCCTGTTTCAAATGTCACTATGATATTCACAACAATAATCTTTTGTGCACTCGGGGTAAGGTACTGAGGCTTGGCATGAGATAAATAAAACTCCATCAAAGATTAACCAACATTCTCATATGTTGCAGGAGCATTCGCTATTACATCAAAAGTGTGAAAGAGGAATGCTCGTGGAGTGATAGGCATGTCAAACTTAGAATCATGCAAATTCTCCAGATCAAAAGAGGTTACAAGTTCTAACCAATACATGATGTGATTTTCAACAGCCTCATTAATTATTCTCTCAAACATCCATGTGGAAACAAAGTCTTTCGACTTTCCAAAGTGACCTAAGCTTCATGCTCTTCTCTCTCTTTCGCTTCAGCCTCCTGGATGATTCTTTGATGTTCATCCATTTCAGCCTCTCGTGCCTTTATTCTTTTGAGTTCGTTTTCATCAGGCTCTTCATCTTTGTTATTATCGACAATAGGCTTGTTACTTAAAAGTTTTCCCTTGCCTCTAGAACTCGAAGCTACATTATCCTTCGATTCATTGGAGACTTTCAGTTCTTGCTCATCATGATCAGATGTATGAGAATTGATCTTCGGAGGTTGTTGAGGCTATTTGGATGATTCTCCTCTTTGTTTTGGAAGGACAAGAGACTCCGAAACACCCTCTATTGAGTAAGCATGGAAAGAGCAGGATGAAAATTTTCAGCCAAATGCCTTCGAAAGGATTTTGGAAGAATAGGATCATGAGTATCAAGAAGATTAGAGAGCAAAGCATTAACATCTCCAACGCAACTCTTAATAACAACTCGTTCGGACTTATGCTCGTTAATCTCTTGTTTGTGTGGGTGAGTTTAGCAGCTTGAACTTGGACTTTCATAGTTTTGGCAGCAAGTCCGTCCATAATTCTACTTTCAACTACCAGATCTTCACGAAGCTTATCAATTTTTGAAGAGATTGACGTTAAAAACTCAGCATTATCCATTTGTGGATCAGTGCGAACCTGCACCAGTGCTTATTTTTCTTTTTGTAGTGAGGTGCGAAGACTCACGATTTTCTCATTCCCCTTAGATGTATTTGAATCAGCAGAAGTTTGTAAGGTTGTTACAAAGGTATGAGCTTCATAGATTAGTTTTTCAACCTTTGCAGTTACTTCTTTGCACATAGCAGTTGAATGTGAAACTGATTGATTTGCCTTATCCAGATTTTTCTGATGTTCTTTTTTCATTGACTGGAAAAAGGCCTCAACTACCGCATTAGAATAAGCATCACTTTGATGAAGCTTGAGAAGAACTAATCAATGAATCTAGCTTCTCATTGATAGCCTTGAACTGTCGTTGAGTTACAGGGGCATCATGATCACTATCCTCCTGAACTCAGAAGGGACTAAACTAGAAATATTCAAAACCAAAACCAACGCTTTCAAAAAACATATATGAATCACCTTGTCTCAAAGTAGAAATAGAAGGTGTCGAATGACTGACAGTTAAAACTGAAGCTCCTACTCCCGCATCAGATGCATTGACAGAAACAGGAGGCTTAATGGTTGTTGTTGGTGTTGTTGGATTAGTGTCTAAGTCCATAACTATTTTGGTATGTACTTGACCCGATTATGAGCATCGTCCTTTTGGGTTGCCTTCACTATAGCGATATGTAGGATGATTTAAGAAGAGAAAGGTTTAAATATGATTTATTAATATATTATGAGAATAATATATTAAAGGAGAAATCATATTGTTTAATTAATATTGGTCAAGAATTAATTAAGAATTAATTTTGTGGCTAAAAGAGATTAATTAAACTTAGGGGACTGAAGTTGTAATTATAAGATAATTATAATTGGGCTATGGATCACCTAATAATATATAGGTTGAACGAATTCTATGGGAAGCCCATTAGAAATCGTCCAAGGGATATGTTTAAGGAGTCCATGGGCTGCTTAGGGCCTAAGCAGTCAGATTAGGGTTTCCTAGTTGTAAACCCTAATAGCCTACATGTATAAAAGGGACCCTTAAGCCCCAAAAACGTGGACAACACTTCCATTAGGGTTTCCAGCCGTTTTTGGTGCCTCCTTTACTTCTCCTCTTCATCCAAGTTGCATATGGTGTTTGTGACTCCATTAGAGGTACTACACTTGTGGTACTTGCTTTCAAGAGCTAAGGAAATTCAAGGAACTAGTTGTTATTGCTATATAACAACAAAAGGTATGTATTCTAGCTTTATATATGAATTTCGAAAATTATAGTAGCATGCCAGGTTTCTTTTGTGTTCATAAAGTTGTATAACTAATAGTGAAAACATAGATCCAATACTAGGGTTGCATGCACACATAGGATTGTTTGTATAAGACCCATCAGTGGTATCAGAGCCATTGGTTTTTGTTTTCAATTGGATTTGATACATATTATGAATTTGACAAATTAGGGTTTATGGCAAGTAAACCCTAAGGCTTGGTAATTTTCGCAATTAGGGTTGCAAAACCCTAGATGGCGATTTTTGCTAGGGTTTCCCAAATCCTTTCCTTAGCCTCCAAGATTTTGAAATCTAGGGTTATCCAACCCTTGGATTTCGAAATTACCTCCTTCCCCAAGGTTAGATCCTAAATTTTAGGGATTTGGATAATCCCATATCTTGTAATTATCTTTTAATTGTTAAATATGGTAATTAAAGATCTTGAATTATCCCATCCCTTATTTTCGAGATTTAGAGAGGGATTCAAGGGATTAGGATATCTTAGATGTATAATTGGTAATTATCCTCATGATCTAGATAATCCCTTGTGATTTAATAATTTAAATTAATTGTTTAATTTATGGTAATTATTAAATCAAGAGTTTTAATATTTAAAATTTAATGTCTTAAATTCGAAAATTTTAAGTGAGATTAAAACCTAATTGTTTTGAAGAGTTTCAAAACTTGCCCTCAAGTTTTGGAATTTAAATTGTTGATTAAAAGTTAATTTTGAAAGTCTAAATTCCAAAACCCTGATTTTGAAAAGTTCAAATTAAACCCTTATGGTTTTATTAAATTAATTAAGTGTATAATTAAAAGAGATTTAATAAATCCATAATGATTTTGGTTAATTAAAAGTATAATTTAAACCACCTAGTATTTTAAAAGTGTAAAATACACCCTTATACTATATATAACATTAAAAGTTTAATATTATATATGTATAACTAAAAATTCAGTCTTACCGTTAGTAGGCCTCATTCACGAAGCTAGTCTATAAGGGGTGTTTAAGGAAATTGCCTATAAAATGGCGATTGAATGGGTATCCACTCTTACCCACCGCACTCTTGACTAGTGGAGGGTCGTTAGCCGAACGGGTAGGATAGGACAAAACCTTCCATTATAAGTATAATGAAGTACAAAGTAACTAAATGCTTTTTCAAATTCCCAAATCATAGTTACTTTAGGCAAAATGTGAAATTGTATGCTAACCCATGGAATTACACTTCGTACCCTTGTCAAACGTTAGTGGAGCGTGTGTGGTTAACCGGCACACTAATTTGGGGATGACATTGGTGGAGAAGGGTGGTTCGACGCTTATCATAGATCAACTGGGCGTGTGTGGCTAACCGGCACATTGATTAGGTGATAGTAGCATTGGGCGCACCACGTGATTCGTATGGTTATTCACACCTTGTTTGTGATCCTCGGCATCCCAGTCACAAATAGTAGGGCATAATCGAGATTAAACATGCCATTGAAAAGTTCAATGAATCTCAAAAGATCTAGGAGTTTCAATTCATTTAAAACTTAAACTTCTTTTTCGTTTTTCATGGTGGAAATTGGTAAATCGTCATTTACCTACCTTCAGATATTCTGCAACTAGATTACGGCATCCCTCTTCTAGGTTGTAGAGTATTGTGTTGGATCCTAGCTTGATGTTTCATTTGGGTGTTACATCAAGAATTCTAATCAACTAACTTGAATTTTCTCCCGTTTTGTAGATGTCTGAATCTTACAATGGTCTTCCCAAATCCTTTGGAACAAGCTTTCCAAATGAAGATGACATTCCGAGATACGATCAAGGAAATGAGAGTCACGCTTCACTTCCTCCACCTCCTCCAATTATTCTCCCTGACCCACAAGTTCAAAGGCTTGAAAAGTTCAAGCTCACTCAATCCCTTTTGGCAGTAAACACGAAGATGGGAAACCTGTGTGTGCACACGTCTTAGAGATGAAGTCACACATTGATAGGTTAAGCATGTTGGGTGTCGAGATTTCAAGCGAGTTGGCTGTTGACTGGGTTCTCCAATCACTTCCTGAATCATATAGTGAGTTCGTTAGAGAGTACTATATGATGGACCACGACGTGACCCTAATTGATCTCACCTATTTGCTTATAGCTGCTGAATCAGCAATGATTTGGCGTGCTGGTCAAGCAAATTTGTCTAGTGAATCAAACTCCCAAACTTCAATGGACACTGGCAACATTGGAAGTCCAGAAAGAACTAAGTTTGTGATTGTCCGATGTGCTGTGCCAAAGGAGTCCATTTGCTTTTATTGCCAAGAGAAGGGGCATTGGAGACGAAGCTGCCCTAACTACCTGAAAGATCTAAGAGATGGGAGAGTCAAGACGTATGGCTCTACTACAGGTAAAATCCATTATCTAACTCTTTTGAGTTCCTATTCTAGATTCTTAATACATGATGTGATAAGATTACATTTTGATGTTTTGTAGGATCGAAGAAAAGAGAGGAAGCTTGAGAAAAGAAGTGAGCTGAATCTAATCATGAAGAAATGGATTTCGATCGCATTACTTGAAGAATGGATTCTTGAGCTACTACTTGGAGTTAGAATAGATTGTTAAGAAATATGTAATAACATAGTTTTTCAATTGAATTACATTGTAAGGACAAATTTTTTCCGCAATAAAATGAATTTTGATTTTATCTTATTTATTTATCCTTGCGATGGCATGTATGAAAAATTGATGTTTGAATGTTTCTATTATTAGCAATAATGGATTTGATTCTTAATTGATTATTTGTGGAAGTGTCAAGAGTTTACCATAAGGAGAGTTTCTCATCGCCCAAGTTTCAATTGGACAGAAACTTGGAATCATGCAATGTGTATTGTATGATGAATGGAAAACTTTCACATTTGGGAAACTTAGACTAATTCTTTGGCAAAGTGTCAATTGAAGGACTAGGAGATCAAGTACACTAGGTTGTGCGTTGATCAAGTCCACCACAAGAGTGACAAAGATATTCGTCATGATTTACTAAAGTTTAGTAAATATGATTATACTTATAAGATTAAGTGTAATTCTGAAGTTGATTGAAAGAGTTTCAATGAATAGTAGAACGAATAAAGAAGAATCAAGTAGGCAGAAAGATAAAAGTTTCTCTTTTCTAAGAAGAAGGGAGAGTACCTTTTATTGTGTTTTATGATAAGTCTTAAAGATTAAGAACCATGTCTCAATAGATCCTCTAAGTGAGTCTTAGTGCAATTGCATGTCTAAGAAGAGGTATCAAGTATTGTAGAAATGGTTAAATCAATAAGTCAATCATACTTCGTTCCAATATCAAGTCTTAGAGTCAAGATTGTGACATTGAGTGAAAAGTCTTAAGTAGGTTTATAACACTCATCAAATGTGGAATTTGGAAAAGTTTTCTTATTCTTGCACATTTGAAATTGGTAAGTTGTGCTGTCTTGGATAAGACAAAGACCAACTAGGACCAATTGTGTGAAGTGTTTTGTCTTGATAAGAACTACACTAACTCTTGAATATTTGTTTGTCAAGAAATGTTTCTTGACAAGAGAATCTTATATGTCAAAAGTCAGTGGGAGTCTTAATGGTCTTGAAAAGTTTCAAGAACAAATCAAGAATAAACCTTATCGATCATCACTAGCACACGACTTGAGGTTTACAACCTATCGTGCTGACATTATTTTGTGCCATTCCAATTGAGTTAATTGTGTATATGAGTTCTATGAGTTCTCATTTGAATACATACTAAAGCCTTAGTCGATGGAAAGTACATTGATATGTAAGGACAAGTTACTAAACTACTTGGAAGACATGGTGGGCACTCGTGTTACCATAGGGCAAGAAATCAAGATTAAGAAAGTTCAGTCCATATGAGTTTGGATTTGTCGCAAACCTTGGTTTTGGCAAATTCACATGGATAGGAACTCATACACCATAAAATCTAAGTGTCATAAGATTCCCTCCTTCATGAAAATGACTGTGAGGAAATGCTTTCACTAAGAGAG